ACAAGGGGTCAGGACAAGTGTGGAAAGGACCTAGGATGAACCTGGAGGAGATGCTCTTCAGACGGCGACTGCAAACAGCTCATTCGATGACTTTCAACATGAAAAGGAGATGGGGCAGTAGTTCAACAAGAAAATGGGGCCAAAGACAGGGTGTAAAAAGAAACAGACCAAAGCATGTTTGCACTGGGAGGGAAAGGAAGCAAGCAAAAGATAGCAGCAGATAAGATGGAGCTACAGTATAAGTGAAACAGCTTAAAGCTCTTAAGGCAAGAGATCAAACTTTTCTATAGTGCTAACAAGAGCGAGACACAGGTAGAAAAGACAGCAAGCAGAAGAAACTGCAGGACAGACACACCCTATTCCATCAATTTTCCCTTGGAAAGTGTTCAAAATCCTATAAAGAAAGAAGGGGAGGCAAGAAACATGATGAGACTGAAAGATTTTATGTGAACCGCAGGACGTACCTTGGAAAACCCTGTGCTGCCTTGAGACGTGCAGCCCCTCAACTGGTAAAAGCTTTTATGGAACCATTGCTATTAAAAGACTGCAATATCCATCCTATAACAGTAGCACATGAGGAGCCTCCTTTCACGTGGCTATTACAGTGATTCCCAGACACCGTTCTGCAAAGAACGCTCTGTTCCTCTCAGTAAATCCTACAGGTGTTTTTTGTTTTTTTTTTTTCCCAAATGTAGTAATACATGCAGATGCTATGTTATAGGCATGCTGTTCCACTAAAATCCACGCCATGTACCAGACACCAAATGCTACTTAACAATTTGTCAAGTTTGGCAACCTCTGGAAATTTTATCAGCAAAAATGTAGTGTTTTCTGCCAAGGCACAGCTAAGAATATCGGATGTTAGGCTCAGGAGAAAAAAAAAAAAAAAAAAAAAAAAAAAAAAAAAGATGTGTTATTGCAATTAAGATGACCATGTTCCGATACCATTATAAATAATATTAATGATTACATTGTAAATATTAATGTGTTTGAAACTAAAAATTAAGATCCTATTGAACCAACAGGTAGCCTGTATAAATGTGAAGTAGGTTGAGCACATAGAAATATTTATTTAAGCAAAAAGTGACGTAGTGTGAAGCACTGCTGGCTAACAGAAGACATTTATGTTGTTTAATTTTGTGCTGTATCCTCAAATCTGCTCTTTTTCCTCTTCCTAGAATCCCTACATGTTGTTAGTCTAACACTCAGGTGCATTTTTATATTCTTGGCACTTCCCCAGTGTTATTTAAAGCTACAAGCCTTCCTCCAAAGAACTTCTGGGACAACTTTTTAAAACCACCAGTACAAGTTACCCACTTTGATGAGTCTGGAGTGAAACATGTTTAACATTCTTCTATGCTAAATAAATTCTTTATTTCATGAGTGTCTTTTATTATAAACAAAACATGCAGATTTAGTCTCAAATGCAGAGCAAACATCTAGAACCATGCACAGGCCACATGGATTCTTCTGTCTGTAACATCTACCTTTGAAAGACACAACAATGCACAAAAAAAACAAAGCAACAACAACAAAAAAAAAAACAGAACACGTCCAGAGGTTACTGCCTGAAGTTGAAATACATAACTATACATATATATAAATCATTTTTAAAAACACTTTTTCTAAGAAGAAAATGTCTTTCTTACATTTAACAGATTTTGCCTATAAACGTGTAACTGCTTTGCCATGCAGAAGAACAGAAGTCATCTTGCTAAATTTGGTTTGGCAGCAAATCTATTCTTCTGAGTCTTCTGCAAGACGATCTGGTCTCTTGGTCTAGTTCCTCATGAGCGCCTGTCTGCATAATAGAAATCCAAGTGCTACCTGGCACCGTCACTGCAAGTTGGACCAACTAGCACAGCCTGGCAACTGAACTGCTCTAACCCCCCCAAAAAAGCTTCATGATTTGGGAATAAAGAACAGAGCTTGGGGAACAGTATGGAAACCTCACTGTCACAATCAGTGACAATTTTTTTCATGTTTGCTAAATAGAAAAAAGATTTTAGCATTTTTGAACGTTTGCTTAGAGCCCTTCATGGGGATAGCTCAGAACAAGCACACACACAAGTCACTACGTACTTGATCTTGTAGGTTTTTCCAAACAGACCAGCGCCGAGTTGGATTTGGGTGACTACGAAGCAACTGCACAACTCAACTCAAATCCAGGGAAACAAAGAGGAGCACTATTCCAGCCTGCCTTCTACACACCTGCTGCAATATTCAATGTAAAGATCTCGGTTCAATGGTACCACCCCTGTGTAACAGTAAGAGTGTTAGAAAAGCCTCAGTCAGATCACAAAACATGTGATTTTAAACCAAGCGAGGAGAGGGAGGGGGAGAAATTTCCTGGATCAAGTGAACCACAGAGATATTTTAATCAGAACACAAAAGAAGGCTGAGACAAACACCAACTGACTCGGATCATATCACATCAATAATCCACGCACACAGCCTCAACCAAAATCAATGGGAGGTTTGTGTATAAGTGGCTTGCATAAAATAAATGCATGCCCCCATTTAGGCTCCAGAGAAGAGAGAAAACACTGAGGACAATTCCCATAATTAACATTTCTCTTCCGTCAAGTGTTTCTAAAATAATAAATCCTAGCTCTACATAGCTCCGCTGTCATTCACAGTTTTTACAAGAGGTGGCAAAATAAGTGACCCCGTTTGACAACTAAGGGAACTGAAGCATCAGATGCAAATTATACAGCAGAGCAGGGCAGCAGGCAGAACTGAACTGGGAATAGCAGTTTACCTTCTGAATCACAGTGTAATGTCCTAGATATTTAGATGTTTATCTAGATCAAGCCTCTAATTAGGGTGATACCATGCAGTCCTCAAATAATTGTGCACACTTCCTAAAGTACCTGTGCACATCGATAAGCTCGGCTTTATGAGTCTGCCGGTCAATTGTGAATTTTTGAGCACTGGAGGTGTCCTGCAGAGGTTCAAATGCTGGGCAGCACTGCTCAGACGCCCTTGGCAGCCCATCACTCTCAGTACTTATTGGCACTAAAGCATTTTAAAATTGGTTATCAAATCAACACTTTTCACATGCCTTCTATTGTTTAGAAAGAAGAAAAAAATGACTCTTAATTCAAAACAATTCATTAGCTGGAAATGATCTAATTAATCCTGGTGTTCCAAACTGACTGTGTTCCATAAGAAAAAGCCAGACAGGATCTCTGGTCAGGAAAAAAGTTCAATACTCACAAGAAGTTAGTGTAAAACATTAAGTACTGGTTGAAAAAAAAATAAATTACTAATTAGTCTACGATTGTTTTAAACAAAGCCAAGTAGGAACATAAACTACTCTGTTCTGACAAAAAAGCAGCATGTTTATTAATTACATAAAGTTATAAATAATAGTTTTACTTGCAGTCTACATGAAAATCTCATGTCTACATCCACTAAACCAGCCTTCAGAGCAATACAGACCAGCTCCTCCCGAGCTTCCATCTTTTTCCTTCTGTGAAAATGCAACTCTGAAACGCTTAACACCTTCTGAAAGGTGATTCTCAATTCAGCAAGAGGCCCGCTTGGTAGTCTAAGCCTTGCACGTGAGCAGGTACTACATTACACAGGGCTTGTGCCGCCAGCAGGCACGGTCATCTCCTTTTACTACAGATCTAAGTCCATAATGCTGTGAGAACATATTTTGGGTTGAGCGAATTTTCTGGCCTTTACAATTACACTGTTCAATTGTTCCCAATGACATTTTTTAAAGGAAGACTGTCTTGTTTTGTTATTTGGTTTCCTTTTTCAGATTTTTTTAAAGACTTCAGCCCAACACTAACCAAGGGAGAGAGGTACTTGCCGAGAAGTGGCCATGCTTACAGACGACTCCTTGAATTATTTTTCTGATTCATCACAGACTTTTTTTTCAAGTTGTCAAAACAAACACCACACCCACTTGATTTCCGAGTTCTGGGTAATTATATTTAGAATTAGCAATCACCGTGTAACTATTAATCATACAAGGCTTAGCCATCACTTTACCTATCTAGAAATAAAGCAACACGTTCAAACGCAGGCGGTTTAGTGCTTTATTCAGGAGAGATCCCCACCGCTCTCCGCTCCGAACCATGCCACTGGTGCAGATGGCCACAGTCCCAGCAGCAGCAGAGAATATAGAGCTACAGTCTCAGCAACAGCAGCGAATATAGGGCACTGCATTGAGCCAGTGCTCTGCCCCAGGGCAGGACCGGCTGCTCCTCAGCACCATTATCACTGGCGGCACCCCAGAGCTGGGTGTTTCAGGCACAAGCTTTACACACGCGCTCCCAACACGAAAATCACACGAGGCTGCAGATCCCGGCAGCGGGACGGCACACGGCCCCGTCTCCCAACGATTAAGAATTGAGACTAAAAAAGCTCCCCCAGGACGCGAGCCCTGACTTTTTGAAGGCAGGCTTCGGGAGCGCTCACACCGCTGCCTTCAGGCTCGGTTCACCTTGTTCAAACTGGCCGAACCACTCCGTGATTATCACCGAGCCGCCGCGAAGATGACACAGACACACACACACACACACACACAGACAGACACACACACACACACACACACACTCACACACTCGCAGCAGCCCTCACAGAACATAATTACCCTTTTCACCGCCCGCTGCCAGCCGCCTACTTTTCCCCCCTCCTCCCCAGCAGCTGCACCGGGGCAGCGCAGCGATGTCGCCGGGCGGGAGCGGAGCCAGGAGCGGGGCCGGCTCCCGGTGAGGGCCGGGGACCCAGGGCCGCTGCCACCGCCCCCCCCCCCCCCCCAGCTCCGTGCCCGGCTCCCGGAGCCTCCGGCCCGACCCCGCCGGCCGCGGGGCGCCGAGCCAGCCCCCGGCGGGGCCGCCGAGCACAGGCGCCAGCCCCCGCGCCCGCCCGCGGTCCCCTTCCCCTCAGCGCCCAGGGGAAACGTCCCGGGCTCGGCGGCGGCCCCCAGCCCGGGCACGCGGCTCCCCGGCCACGAACGCGGGTGTCCCCCCGGCCCCACTCACCGCCGCCACCCCCGCCGCCCTCTTCGTCCATGTTGGGGCCGCAGGCAGCGCGCTCCGCAACGGCGGCGGCTGAGGGAGGCCCGGGGCTCGCTCCACCCGCTTGGCGCCTTTCTCGGCGGCTGCTCTTCCTCCTCCTCCTCCTCCTCCTCCTCCTCCGCCTGCCCTGCCCCGTCCCTCTCCGCCCAGCTCTGCCTCAGCCCCGGCGGCAGCCGCCGCCTCGGCCCAGCCGCCCGCCCCTCTCATGTGACGGGCGGCGGGGGAAAGGCAGGCCCGGCCGGCCCTCTGCCGCCGCCCCCCGCCGCCTCTCCCCCTCAGGGGGCGGCAGTTCGCCCGCCGTGCCCCCTTCCCGGGCCGAGGGGCCTCGCTTCTGCCCTCTCCTCCTCAGGGTGTTCCCGGCAGGTTTGGCCTGGCGGAGTTGAGGCCATGCAGAAGCATTCTCCGGGGGGCAACGGTGGGAAGGGCTGAGGGGAGCCGTCGTGCTGGGTATCGCTATGGGCGGGGTGTCTTCTGGGCTCTGTGGTAGCCAGAAAATGTCTGCAGGGTCGTTCCCAAGCGTCTACAGAGCCACAGAAGTCGTTCCAAGGTGTCTGTGAGAGGAAAAAGGTGATAGGGAGATGACAGGAAGGTGAGGGGTGAGAGCTGGGCTGGTGTCACACTGTCAAGGGGGATGAGGTGGATGGAAGTGTCCAAAAAGGAGTCTGAGGCTCATAGTGTCTGTGCTCGTTTCTTCTGCAGTCTTGCTTGCTCCTGATGCTTTGGTCTGATGCTGGAGAGATGCTGGATGCTTCCCCTGCTGCAGTGGTCATGAAGTTTTGTGTATAAATGGGACTGCTTCATATACAGCACACGGTTTTGCCTGGTACGTATTGTCTGTTTTGGTAAGGGAAAAGATTTGCCTGCTTACGGATCTAGGACACAAATATTTGTGGGATTTCCTAAGTCCTTGCTAAAGATCGTCGGTGCGATACCACGGCGGTCAGGATATCAGCCGCCTCCAAAGTCTGTAAAGGTAAGCAGAAGTGTGCTGGCACAGACCAGTCTTCCTTCCTTCCCAGGCACCACCCCGCTTTATTTTTTAAAACCTTCGGTGTCAAAATTTTATTCAGAAAGGAAACTGGGGGGGAAGGGGTCAGCCAACAGGAAAATATCAGGGTTTTCATTTTCCTGTTGTAGGCTGGCATGGGACAGCATACTGTCTAAAAAGCTGTGTCAGGAGTGCTCACCTCTGGACACCACTGCTAATCAGTGGTTCTTACATCCCCTTTTGCTGAGAGCTGAGCTTTGGTTCTTAACAGCTGCTCAGGTGATAAAGCGTTTTACCTCAGCAAGAAATCATAAACGTCGTAGACCTCTAAGATACTTCTCTGTATTTCATATTTTAAATAGCCTTTATTATAAGTTTAATCAGTTAGTGTATAAAAAGGAGATGATTACATAAAACAGAAGCATTGCCTTGGTAAGAGATTTATTTTGAAATGTGTGTCTATGAAGTGAAATTACAGAACGATTTTTAAATAAATTTGAATGCGGATGAGCTGACAGTGGGTTCTGAATATTTTTGCACACTGAGCGGACTTAATTTACATTAGAGGGGAATCTGTTTCATGAGAAAAATTCAAATTCTATTTTGATCACAGATTGTTTGCTTTCATTTAATCTGTGTGGTTTTGCACATTTATATAGAATACATTTCATTCTGTTCTTGCTTTTGTTTAGCAGTATCATTTTTCCCTTCCTGTATTCCATTATAAACTAATATGCTTTTGATACACAGAAAATTCTACCGCAAAATGAAAGTCCAATCACTAATTCTCGTAGCAGAGAAGAGTGAACCATGGTCTTCCTCCCACCGATTCACTGGCAAAATTCCTGTTGACTTCAGAGGAAGTAATACAAAGCTTTAAATTTATCAAAATTAGTAACAAAGATGAAAATGATGTTGTGATGCAAGCAAGATGAGAAAAAAAGGACTGCCCCAACTATAAGTGATCAGTTGGGATATTTATATAAACTTCACGCTGAAATCAGATAAACTTGTGAAATAAACTAAATGTTCTTTATTATAACCTAATCAGTAACTTGAGCAAACAGTTATATTTCCATTTTTTGCCCTATTGAATATGTAGCATACTCTGTTGTAGGTTTGAAAGATACATCATTCAGTACCCTCTCAAGGAAAACCTGTTTTTTCAGTCCTCTTTTAGTAGGATGACTTACCAATGTTACAAAATACATGTACATAAGAGCATTTGAAATTATAGTGTCTTCTTCAAGGCTGTATGTCTCTTTTTAAGATCAAAATTGTTACCTTATTATCTCCTTTTCACATGTTTAACTTCAGTCTGTCATGTCTGGCTAAAAACCAAATTAGGGCAGGAGAAGATTTTTTGAAAATGTACAGAATAAACTAAAAATTACAGTCATAGTTCTACAGTGTAATTAGAGTACTTTTACCATACCAGAACAGCTCTGTATTTTTTGGTAATTCAATAATAACAACGCTACCATTATTAAATACTGGGCAGTTCCCTACCAACAAAGAAGCAGATGCCAGATAACGAGACAGGTTTTAGTCTCAGCAAATTTTAGGATGCACTCCAATAAACTATTTCTTACCCATGTGAATAATTCTCTCACATCTACTTTGTTTTCCTGAACTTTGATCATTCTTCTGTTATGAAACATATCGATTTTATTTTTCCCTGTGTTAATAAGGGTTTCAATCAACAGTTTTGTGAAGATTGTTTGATCTTTTTTTTTCTTGCATGCCGTCCTTTCTGTAGTCATAACTCTATTTTTACCACAAGTATGTTTTGCCAGTTTTATATCCACAAGTCTAGCCTTCTGTGTTGGAAGAACTTCATAGTCTGTCATTCGTGTAAATAATAGTCTAATAGTTGGTCTGTTTAAATTATTTTTAGGGGAAAATTGGGCATTCTCCAAAAACTGCTGTTGGCAGGGTTGATTCCTTGATGATAAATGTGGATATTTGCTGAATTTTCAGGTAATATACTTTTCCTTTATTTTCCTTTTTTAGATAGCTTAGTATCTTTTTTGATTAAGTTTCCACTAAGTAGTAATTTATCACGCTGTGTTTCATTTTAAGGGGTCAGGAGCACATCTGTTACGACATTTGTCCTAACACAGAGAATCAGTGAAGACAACTGAATCCCTTACATAATATTTTTGTGGTTTAAGTGGCTCATTAAATCTTGAGCCATTTTTATGGATTGCAATTTAAACCAGACTCCAAGTGATAGTGAATGAAAATCACTCCCCCTCCCATATATGTTTTTTAATAATTGAAGAATTTAGATGTAGGAAAGTGCAGTTGCTTATCACCTATTTTCCTCAGCATGAGACGATTCCCTTTTTTCTGGATTACTATTTATCAGTTAATGGAAATTCTGAAAAGAATCTCCATTATTCATCTTCAGTTACTTGTAGAAAGAAAAGCTTAATCTTTAAGTTTCCTCTTCCAGTAATGTAAATGTTGCAGTGATGTAAAATACCATTTTATGATTATAGATTTTGTAAACTTTTAATTTCTAAACAAAAACATGAGCTATGGTGGTGTTTATTACATCAATTACAACAGGAAAGTAGATGGTAACATTATATATTAAAGACATAAGAAATACCATTGTGAATTTTCTCAACACAGAAAGAAGTAAAGAACCTGCCATTGTGTCATCAGGCTGGATGTCGGTATCTAACACAGGGAAATGGAATAATGCATCTTAGTGTTGAAAAGAAGAATCTGAAATCGTATTTGAAGAGGCAGTCATCATGCACGCAGGTAGTCCCATTTCATATGTTCAAGACATCGCTAATTGGCAACTTTTGCTTATTGTGACTTTGTTAGATTTGATAAGAAGGATTTTGTAGTTACCTTTAAGGAGGCAAGTTACTCTTAAAGAACAAGCATCTATATGCTTTTAAGAATACATTCTTAAGGAAAATGGATGCATCTTTTAAAGAATATACATAAATCTTAAAGAACATAGATGTTGTGCAACATTTTGTTTACTAGAATTATGTGATTGATTTTATTGCTCACTTAGATGCTCACATGGTTGGAAAAGTGGTGCAAGCATTTCATTTCCTGAGAATGTATTTTCTGAGACAAAGTCATCAATACTCAGCTGCTGTATTAAAGATTACTTCTGTTTAAATTCTAGACAATCAAACAACTTTTATTTTTTAAGAAGCAATGCCTGATAATTTCCAGGCAGGAAGGTCTTAGTCCATCACCATGTCTTTTTTTCCCTGTTTTTATTTATTTATTTATCAGTACTTGAAAAATCTGGTATTCTTGAATCCCTAAGGCAAGCTCTTTGACTTCCTCTGTCTGGCAGATGGGTTTTAGTCATGTATTGTTTCTCAAAATGTTTGTGCTGTCACACACATCATATTTGTCTCAGCTGGAAAAACACATTTATAGAAAATCCTGTTTGCTGGTTATCTTAATGGATTCAAGAGTGCTTGCACTTTTTATTAAGTCCAAGAAAAATTTTACATGTAAGTATTTTATATTGCTTTGGGGAACATCAAAGCTCAAGTTTAGCAAGTATATCATATTTTATGAATGGTGCTTTTTTGTATGGATAGGAAGCTCATTCCCCTAAAATAGCTGAAGAAGCAAAATTAAATATGCTTGGTTTTTGAAAAATTTATGTGCTTTTTATGCAAATTAACTTCTAAATCACATCCTGAATTTTATTTGTGACATATTTCAAATTCCAATTCTTGACATATTTTTTTTTGTTGTTGACACTTCTAAATGAGCGTAATCTATTCTTAGCATCAAATATTACTGGTTTTGGAAGTCATTGCTTGCTTCCATTGTGTATCACTGATAGGACAACTGGTGAATGATTGAGCGAAGAGCACCAGAATGATCCAGTGAGGAAAATCAAATGCATTAAAAACTGTGGAGGTCCACCAGCTCTGTAATGCTTACGATGTGAAGTATACTAAGTGTTAGAACTTGTTCTACCTGTATTAATTATGCATAGTACTAGAAACAGACAGGATGCTTTTGAGTATGAAAGCTTTACCAAAAATAACAGAAAAAGATGACTTGGATTCAAAGGATCAGGACTGAAACAGATCAATAGTGGAATTTTGTATAGAACTTGAGGGTTTTTTTTATCTAAGGGAAATGAAAGAGCTTGATATAAAGTAGTTCTCCAAGGGAGAGTGCACTGACTACAGCCATGCTCTGTTCTTACCCTGAGAAATAGCCACAGTCTGTTAATTCACCTCTGCTGGTACTTCCAGTTTGAGGTGGCTGCAACTATTACTGCGTAGCACTCTTCAGTCTCACCAAGGCCTGGGATTTTGAAAGTCCTTATTCATCCTACCCTGGGAGCTGTAGCTGGCTACAAGCCACATATGAGTCCTGTTCTATCTGCATACACATGGCAGCAGTTGAAGGATTTATTGTAGTAATGCTGATAACAGGGGAGGCCCCCACGGTTCCTTCCTCCCCACCTGGAGAAGCCTGCTTAAACAACTCCACAGTGTAAAAGGGCTAGCATCCCAGTGTACATACAGCAGCCAAGTGACAGGCTGGACTCACTGGTGACGTGCAGTGTTAGGAGGGTTAGACCAGGTGCTCTTGTTGATTCACCAGCGAGCATCTGAAATGCAATTGCATATCTCCACGTGAGCTGGCTCAAATCTGGCTTTTGGCAAGTCAGCAGTGCACAAATCTGGGTTTAATAAGTATGGAACCATAAATTTAGCCAGGAGTAGGAACTGTCAATTAATGATGGTGATTTTTAGTGCCCTCTTAGCTGTTCATGTAACTGTCTGGAAACCATGCTGTAAATCAGAATACTCAATCCAGATTTTAAAAGTTCTCTCTAAAATAATAATTTTCAACCTGTATTACTCCATTGATCAAATTTACACCACAAACAACTGCACTGGCAGAATTGCAGTGCCAGTTGTTAGACTGTGACACACAGGTGATGTCAAAAAGAAAGAAGGCAGAGTGGTGGATAGTTGTTCTGTCAGTAGGGACAACGTCCCTGTATAATCCTAACTTTATTCCGAACCACAGGCTTTCCATCAATTGTATTTTCTGATCCCTCATGCTCAGCCCTTCTCAAACTGTACCTAGAGCCAGACTATGCTTGTCAATACCTCATCTGTGCACTGCTAGATCACCTAATGGTAGTAAATTGATCCAGATCAAATATGCGCGTGTAACTGCATTCTTGTCAAGATCAGCTGTCTCTAAGTCCCAATGTTTAGACCAAGCTTTAACCTGGCTTTATAGTGGCAGCTGAAATATCAACTTTAATTTAAAATCATATGGGGGTAAAACCATTCTTTAGTCCTTTTTTTTTTTTCCTAAACAACTTGTACTATTGGATTAAATATGTATACTAAGAATTTTGTGCCACGTGGCCATCCAATAACTGAATTTAGTGTAGCATGAAATTGTAGTTGTATATTGGTGAGAGTATGTCTTCAGCATCTTCTGTACATTATTTTAAAATACATAGCTCCTGATTAGTCCTGAAGCAAAGCGGAAATGATACCTTGTTAAGGGGTGGTGTTTAGTATTTTAAATTTTTCCGTCTCTAACCAGGAAAGGTTATTTATTCCAGCTGCTGTAGTTAGAAAAAATATTCAAAGTCTGAAGCAGAAAAACACCACCTAAATCCTTTCCTTCTCATGTCTCTGCCCGCTATTTTATTCCTTGCATGTCCTCATATATGTAAGAAAAATCCTGTACTCTTCTGTATCAAAACAGAAATGTTCTGGTATTTTCTTGCCATAAGTGTACTTTCAATTTAAAAAAACAGTTCTTCACCGTAATTGCATTTCTTGTGCTGTATTTCTCTTTATAGTCTTAAAGAAAAGCTGTCTCTAAGTGCAAGATGATGTTAAGCAAGGGAGAGTCAAAGTTAAAACTTGGCAAGAACTAAAACAAAGAATTTTTCTAAGGAAATGGTGGAGACGGGTCAAATTAATTCCTGATGTAACTCCATTTACCTCAGTGCAGTTACATGAAGGATGGATTTGGTACCTTATGCCTCTGGGGTCAGGAAAGGATTTCTGTGATCTCAATCAGCAGTATAAAATAATCATTCTTAAGAAACAGAATTGTAAATTAAGCCTGATAGAACTGCCTCTGTTATTTTTAGTCTATTAATATAACTGTAAAAGAACAATAGGTCTAGAGAACAACAAAAAGGGCTTCATAAAAAAGATTAGTACATGATGATTTGCAGCCAACATCCTCCATAACAGTTTGTGGGAAAAAGGAATTATGGCAGACTGTTAAAATGGGCAGTGACATCAGGGACAACTTCCCTTTCTTGTAAGTGCCAAAAGCTTTTCTCCAGTTTGCTGCATTGCATCTTTATTTTTTTCCTCCAATGTCCCCAACCATCTCTAGTTCAGTTGTCCCTTCCCTCAAGTTTCTTTTGGTTCCACTGTGTGCACAGGGATCTCTAGTCTCTCTGTGGCTACTCACTGCTGAGTTATCTAAATTCTTTTCTTTAGGCAGAAACATTCAACGTCTTTGGATGGAGAAAGGAGAGATGTTTGGCCTATGCCCTAATTTCTTTTTAGATTTTAAATTTCGATATGCTTAAATTTGATATGCTTTAAAGCAATGTATTTTCACTCTGAGAACCCAGCCTCCACGTGTCAATCTGTAGTGCTCAAATATAGCTATACCCAGATATTACTTCAGTTTTAAAGCCTTGTTATGAAACATCAACCTCTGCCTCCCCATCCCACTCTCAAATTGAGGAAATACTTCTAATAGCAATATATTAAGATCTTTCCATAGTATAATGTAAAAAAGCCATGTAGTACATTAGTGCAATTAAACTGAAATCAAAAGTCTGTCTTTTTTATCCTTACCAACATGCAACTGTCAGTTTTAATACAGAGGAAAAGATCTATGTATACATGCATATAAAAGATGTGAAAATACAAAGGCATTTATTGAAAACAGACAAAACCAGGAAGATGATAAAATAGGAGGAGGAAGGGGCCTCAGATATAAAAACTTGCTTTGTATAGCAGAATTTATCACTAAAAGCTAGGGTTGGCAAATTGCCATGCTTTAGATAAAAAAAGCTATGTAATGTAAAAAAAATGCTTGACAGTACAAAATACAGTAGATGCATTTGCAAAACTAATGTCTGACCAAGAAATTCAATAAAACATTTTTTAAAGTTTCCTTTTTTTTACGTGTATCTTTAAAAGCTTCATTATATTTTCTAATACCAGAAATCTCAGTTGTACAGATGCTCACTGTCCTCTGAGGATATCTTTATCAGGTGTACCATTCAGCAGGATATAGAAAAATTACAAATATCCAAATAAAAAAAAAGATTATGAAAATGTATTTTGAAAGCAAATTTTTGTTAGTCAGAACTACTGAAGCATGTTTTATAGGAAGATTATTTACATTTTAAAATATCTGCAGTTTTAATCCACAAAGCTAATCAAGGAAACATGTACTGCTAAACATTTTCAAACTGAATAAAGAATATTTTTTCATGCAGAATATCTTTTCCATTTCCTTATTTGTTTCTGGGAAAAGATCCAGAGCTTTAGGAAATAAGAGGACGCTTATACCTGAAAGACTTGTCATGTAAAAGTTTTTGAAACTTTCAGAGAACACTACAAAAACATGAGAATCTTGAGTATTTAGTTCAGTTACTGTATCAGCTTAGAATAAATGAGCTCTCTTCCGCAAGGATATTTTCTTCCTCTGGCCTGGCAAGGTCAGAAGTCTGGTCTTCCGGCTAGAAGAGAAACCCTTGCAGTAGATGATGGATAATGAGCACAGCTAAATTCTCATGACTAACAGAATCAGGCCCTTGCTCTCCATTCCCATCTGCAAGGCTTTTCCAGAGCTCAGCATGTATGGAGGATACCAAACCTGAAAAACAAGATGGCAGATAACTACAGTTAAACCAAACAGATAATTTTTTCAACATCTTCATCAGATTTACAAGATAGACTGTTACCTGAGTACTGCTCATATTCTTAAATAAGGTCTCTCTCACAGCAAAAAACTTCTGTAACTTGTTGACAGGAGCTATTATCTCCTTCATAGATTACATCATTCCATGAAGTATTTTTAGGCAGTTCTTGCATCTGAATCTTCAGCGTCCTGATTGCTTCTACAGAATTTCACATTTACTCTTTATGAAGAACAGTAGCTTGGCAGTTCTTTTTCTAGGTGCTGCTTGTTCCCTGAAATGTCCTGGACTTTGTGCATAAATTGTACAAATCTCTGCATTCTATAAATGTACTTCTTCCTGCTTTAGTAAAGCTGAGATACATAGTTATAAGTTAAAAGGAGATAAATTCTTCATTATTCTTCAGCTAAAATAAATAAATGCTTAAAATTATTAGAGAGGAGATAAAATTGTTTCTGCTAAGTTATAAAACTGCAAATAATGGCAGATAAATGCAAATAAAGTATTTTTCTCAGAAATCTAAACTTATAATCAATTGAAGATATTGTATCAGAATGCTGACCATGGGCAATAGGAACTAATAAAGCTTTATCACGATGGGCTTCTGGAAGATCCACATTAATTCCACAATAATGCAACAGAAAAGGAAGGCATGCTTTTATCATGCTTCATGTACATTGAGGAATGTATTTTCATTCTTTGCTAACAGACTTTTAATAATTTATGGAAAGTACTTAAAACTTAAGCAGAAATATACTCTTGAGCTAGAAAAGTATTCATGCATGTGTATATTTATATGTAAATATATGTCTATATACATGCAGGCAAAAAACTACAATTTCATATTTTATGCTAATGAGACAGTCTTTTATCTCTAGATCATAGGATTAGAGGCATTCCTGGTTGTGTAATGAGCAAATGACTCTCTGAAGGCTGTTACAGAGCCTGCATGGATATCCTGCCTTGGTTTCAGCCCAGTTTTGAACAGAGATACAGCACTCACTTTCAACAGCTGGTTCTAATGGGAACTCTTTCTTGATTTGTTTACAGACCCCATTTACAACACACGAGGAGCAGACTCTACCTCTGACTTTGGAGTCTGCCTGAGTAAAATCATTTCTCCTCCCATTCTGCCAATCATCAGCAATTGTTTAACACTTCATAGTACTTCTTTAATAAAGAAAGCCACAGCTAGTAACAGCAAATTAAAAAGATGTCATCAACTGAAGTAAAATTCTCCCTGAATTATTGAATTTACTGGTAGCTGGGGTGTCTTCTTTTCTAAGTGGAAATTGCAGGGAGTCACTATTACTGCTGGACCTATGTGTGTGCATCACAGTTGCAACACCCTTTAGGATAACTGGGAGAAACTGACTGGGGGATTCTTCCTTGCAATAAGAAGCCTTTTATATATAGAAGAACTTATTACAGCATGGCAGTGTTTGTCAGATTAATTTGAAAGCATGATTTGAATAAAAATGCTAAACTTTTTCTCTAACTACAGCACCAATGTCAAGCAGCTGACTTTAAACAAAATAATGCAAGAGCCAGTACATCCCATATGAACAATGTATGAGCAACAACAACAAAACCCTAATGCTCTAGGAAAGAAAGAAAGAAAAAAGTTATATTTGTATATTTGCTCTGCATAAAAGGCTATAACTGTATTAATGACTGTGTACAGTTCATCCATGTGAGATTATCTAATTAAAAACCAATATTGACTAAAGCTATGTAAAAAATGTTAGCAAAAATTATCAATTTAATCATTCAAAGAAAGTACCAAATGATACCACTTTATAAACTGGAATTCCCAGCAGTTTTCTTTGTTTTAGAAGGCCACCCAGTGTGCTCTAACTTCGGACATTGTATAATTTACTTTTCTAATTCTCAGCTACTAAATGCTGACAGTGTGATTCTAAATAATACATTTACTTTAATAGTGTTTATTTGGTAGGAGCACAATATTTGGAAAGTATGCAATGAATTTGGAAACAGCTCAGACATATGGTATTGTATCCATTTGAACCTCTGGAAAGGTGCACGTTGACTCTACTGTCGGTAGGCCTGGACCATTAACTTAGCCTAAATTTAAGGACATTCCCCAAAAACATAGGTCCTGACCTTGTAGTTTGGTTCACATAGGGATATCCTCATGCTTACAGAGCTCTGATTAAGTCAACAAGGCTAGACATCAGTACTAATCCTATGTGATTGGATTACAGGATTAAAGTTGTGATTTGTCCTACTAAAACCACTTTAAGTTACTTAAACAGATAAATCCAACTATCAGATTTCTATTCTAATTGATTACACTTTCCAAAATGAAAAAAAAACAACAACCACCTTCACATTTTTAATGAACTATTTCACCTTCCTGTTTACTTTTTTCATAAGGTGTATCTAGGGTGGGAAAGATAACAGAAATAACAACTCTGAGGGAAAAAATAGTAAAGGTGTTATTTCCCTTTCCTATGAAACTGATATAAAATACTTTTACTTTTTTATTCCCTTTGATTCCATTTCCAATCCTTATTTAAGTCCATCTCCCCATGGCCCCTGTTCTGTTTGACAGGTACTTTCTATAAAGGAAAGTCAGCTTATATCCAGGTTTTCTCATCTCATGCTGTAATTCACATTCCTCATCCTATGTTCCTGGTGAAAAGATTTATGAAAAATAACCAAGGATACGTTCAGTATATTTTTTTTCTCTTGTTACACCTTCCCCTGCCCTGGGTTTATTCCTTGCCTCTCAAGCTCTTACATGCTAGGTTGAGTCGTCCTGTATATGTCATTATTTCTCACAGCTAGAGTATCTGCTAGGAGGTGGAAATGTGATTCCTTCCCAGGCAGATCAGCTGCTGGATTTGACAAGCACGTATGAGTAACAAAGGTTTACCAGATGTGTTTTCACTGATAAAAGCATTCTTTTATAGTAACTGTAGTAGCTACAGCAATATCCAAAATTCAGTTGAAGTTTTGGACAATGCTATTTCAATAGGAGCCTTCAGAAAAAGCATTTCCTATATGGAGGAAAGACAGGCTGCTAAATAATCCATTCAGGAACAGCTACAATGCCTTGTGGGTACTTTATGAAAATACATTAGAATTTACTGTAAATTGAACAAGTAACAAAGAAGCTTGATGAAGCTTTAAAAAAATACAGTGATGAAAATCTCTACAGACTTCTGGATTGCTGGGATTGCAAAGTAAACAGTTCAGCTAAATAGAACTTAGAAGGTACAGTTACCAACTAAAAATGCCTGATTATAAACCAGGAAGAAAAGTGAAGAACTCTGAAAATCATGTATGACAGTGACAACACAGACCACACAGTTATTATTTCAACTAACAGATTGTAGCGAACACATACCATATATCACAGTTAAGGACTAGAAGCCTGCTATAGTCTGTACAGATGTTCTCACTAAGCAAGCAGCTAGAGAACAGAAGATGAAACCTGACCTAAAAGTGACCTGAAAGTATACAAGCAAGCCATTAGAAAGGTGCTCTACTTCATCATATTTTTTCTTTTTAAATCTTAAATGCCTTTATATTGTAGGAGAGGAGCAAAGGGCAGAAATTGGAAATGTTATAATTATTTCTAACTCTGGAACAAGTCATATGTGCTTGCAGTCATACTTGGAATGCAAGGCTTAAGATCTGAAAGGCAATTTATAGGAAGCTCTGTTGCAGAAAAGATTTTTTATTACAAGAGGCCAGACAGGAACACTGAGCTCAGAAGGGTCATTTGTGAATAACTTCCAGCTTAAGTGATTAAGGGCTCCAGCCACTAGCCCGACCCACCCCTCCTCCCTACACACACAAAAAGGCGTATCAGAAACATCCTGTTTGTCACTGCTGCTGGCTTTTTGTTCAATGAGCAAGAGGGGAGCATTTGACTTTTGTGTTGGTTTTGGTTCTTTGCCCTTAGGGATACTTCTAACAATGCATAATACATGAAAGAATTCTGAAATACTGTTTTTTTTTTTTCTTCTTTGAACTATAAGGTTAAAGATAAATACATTTTGATATGCATAGAAAGCATTTATGATAACAAATAAAAGCAGCACTTCCTAAGGCTCAAAATACTGATAATGTGCTTTTACAAGCATGCTTGACAAGATCCTCATCTTTTTTTTTTTTTTTTTTAATGTAAGGTAAAACATTTCAAATACCTTTCAAAAACCTTCTTCTGAAGAGATAGGCATAATTTCATCATTTTGTTGAATTATTTTAGTTTGGGTGGCTTATTTTTTATTTTAAGCTGCTATCGTATCTGCCAGAAAAGACAAGAAATAAGAAACATAATGCAAAGGTGAAGGATGTATGAGACTAAATTGCCAATTGGTTCCTTTGTCAATTTCAGATTCCCATAGAGGAGGTCTGTGCTCCTCTACAATGAGAGATCTATTGTGAAGTGCAGAAAGAGAATTGATGGCACTCTGTTAACCGTGGATGTCTAACCATATGCTGAAAACTCATGGCACCTCCTAGACTATTAGATTTATTACCCCCATTTCTTTTTTCTCACGTTAAATTTATGTTTTGAGGGAAAAGACACTCAGCATTTATCATTAATATGTTTGAATTTCACGTTCAAGGCATCAACCATTTCTTCAATATCAATATAATTTCTTTTCAGAATGAATACTGCACATAACAATAGCATGTTTCCTCAATATCGTCACTTACGGCATCAAGGGACCCTAAGAACAACCAAAAAACGTAAGTTAATTACGTCTTTTGATTCCAGAATAAATCATCCAGTAGCAGCTTTCAGTAGGCAGATCTGAAGTATGAAGGTTTTCTGGACATTTCTTTTTTTACTGCTCAACATCAAGCAGAAAATAAATGTTTATTCTACTCCTCTAGCGTCACTTTGGTCAGCAAAAGCAGTAAGTCTAGCATTTAAACCCTTAGGAAAAACATCCAACAGTATTATCCTGACTTATGCAAGAGAATTGCTGTGCATTTTTTACGTTTATCATGGTTTTCTTTCCTCTTCTAAAATGAAACTATGGTGCAAGACTAGACGTAGTTAGTAAATACCTTGGAATTAAATTCACTGTGACTGGTTCATTAAGGTGTGTCAAAGAAAAAAAGTGTAAAAAGAAGGCCAACCAATTAGCATGGGTTGCTAATATGATTAAGCTAGCCTGGAGCTCAGCTACCACATTTCCAAAGCCAAGCATAAATGCACTTGTTTTAGAGGTTTTTAATGTTTGGTATGAGATAAACATTTTATATTGTCAGGAATAGGAGCTCTTAAGTTACATGCACATCTGTACACCTGACTGAAAAATCAGAATGAGGAGCAGCACAACTAGCTCTTCCGTTGAGCACAGACAAAAGATCTTTTTTTAAAAGATTTTTATTGGTTTTAAATAGCTTGATAAAAGCCACCAATCGGTATTCAGAGTTCAATTGTAAACAGTTACAGTAATTTACCACTGTGTATTGATTTTGTACATTAAGCTATTTGCAGTGACAATCCATAAGACAAGTCAAATTCAGCGTATTTATAAATTGAAATGCACTGTACTAAGATAAAACAATGCCATAACTGAAAATGTTCAAAAGACTGATGTTTAACTCCCTCCTGTGGCGTAAGCAAGCAGCATCACAATCGGCTCCTGGCAGCTTAGACAGCACTCTCATACAAAAGCCTGTATTCATTGCATTAGGACAACAGATTTCAAGTTTACTATGGAAACTCACAAGTTCAAAAGTGTTATAATAAATTTCTAAAATACATACAAAGTTGTAAACATCTTTCTCTGGAACACACACAAAAATGGTTTGTGCCAGCCTCCTGTCTCCCACACTGTAGTAAAAAAATAATTAGGCCAAAGACCAAGGCCATGGACTAAAATTGTTTGCATGGGTAACATCACAGTTCACAGAAAGTATTCTAGTGTCAGCATTTATAATTAGTGTCACCGGCAGGGAGTAGAACCCATCTTAAAGGAAGTTCATGGAACACTCATCAACTGATGAACCAGGCACTAAGCAATAGATTTACCTATTTTTAGGAACAAAAGCTTAATTACATCCAGATATTTTTATATTTGAAAAAAGGTGAAATTGACTGTAAGCAGAAAATAAAAGAACATTTCTACCTGGCGAAGATGGATTTTTAACCATTTTTGCTATCAGGTTCTAACTATCTAGATCTTGCACAAAGAGAGATTTTCCAAACAGACTATAACTATATTGAGATCACACAAATGCACAGGATCATTTCAAGGCAGATTTTTTTTTTCCTGGAAGTCCCTCAGGCCATTTTCAAAAATGTATTAGTTTTCAAATCGATTTCAGCATTAACAATGAAATAACATTTTACTTGGTCTGAATCTTGTACCACAAATTCCAAAAAGACTAAGATCATTGATATCTTGGAATGCAATACAGAATTAATTTCAAGGTACACAGTAATAACGGCTTACTTACTGCAGGGTAATAAAGGATAGCTTCATTCTAGCACTTCCATATTATTCTTATTTCACAACAACTACCAGCAAGTAGTTTGTGTCCTGGTATTGAGTATATGAGCTGATCATAAATATTAATATTTTCATAAACAAGTTGTTTGTTTGAAAATTCTGTCAAGTGCAGCTCGTCACTGAGGATTAGAGGGTTTGTAGTCTGAGATACCAGAAGGGAATTCACCACAAGTATTACAAAAATCCTAAAAAGTGTTTTTTTTTCCAGTTATTGACTGTGCATCACAGAAACAAGCATCATGACACATTTTGTAATATGCAGTCTTGAAAAAAAAAATGTTTTAAAGTATTAAGAGTATTTTCATGTGAATTTTTCAGAAGGTCATAGTATGACTTAAAAACAAAGTTTTGAAGCTAGTGTAACTGTTTCTTAAGTTTCAACCTCAACGTATTTGATAAGCCCTAAATTCTAGCTGCAATTCTCAGCCAACAGATGTAAACAAACTTTAATACTAGATTTTAATCAAAGCAAATGCTTTGTTGGGAAAAAGCAGAAATATCTCACACTACCTACTTACTGTTCTGTCAGATGTATCACTTGTCATACACCCTCATGACAGACTATGGATACTTGTATCTTGATGTTGTTATTGTCAGTTTGTTATGTATTACAGGAGAGCATTTCTGAAACTACACAATTTCAGCATATGCTTATGCTGAGGAATGATGTGGAGGGAAGAGAAGGAAAACATAAGTAGGATCAGGCCATAATTAAAAACAAAAGGAACAATTTGACAATAAGCTGATATATTGGAGAAGTAAGTACAGACTTGCTTCTTCCAAAAGTTAAAAGAATGTATACTTTTAGTATAGGTATACACACACTCCTTAAGGAGGGGCAGACGTGGAAAAAAAAAAGAAAACTTTGGCAAAGTTTAAGAAAGTGCCATCTTTACAGTTGTAAAAAAAAAAAACAAACAAACTCTGAAGAAGCAAGAGGTTAAAAACTGTCTACAGTTAAAATTGTCTCATGGTGCATGACAATGCATACAAATAGTTTCTAAGATTGCACTAATACCACATTGAGAATTACAACATCATCTGTACTGAATTTTGCATTGTAATGTCAAGAAGTAAATAATAGTTTGCATAAGCATTCCAACATCATACTGTGATAACACATTTTCACCCACATGCAGAGCTCTGTGCACATACATTTAAAAGTATATTTTCTTTTTTTTTAAAAAAGCAATACACCATATAGTAAATTTCCACTTAAGTGTATATTTGTGGGAAACTATTACGCAATTCTATAAATATTATTTTCATTGTTTTCTAATGGCAGAAACACGTTTCCTATGTAGTACAGGAGGGATCTGGACACTGGTTGATGAAATTTTAAAAAGCAAGAATTCTTTAATAGAAATACCCCTTTTCAGCAGCAGTAGAATAGCAGGATTTAAGAGGAACTGGAAATAAGAAGGCAACTCCCGGTTCAGTTTAAAGATCCCTTGCCCCTATTAAAAGTTATTTTTCTGTACTATAATAAATCATCCAAAAAAAAAAAAACATTCTCAACTCTAACAACACATTTATTCAGAAAAGCAATTTCCATATAGAACTTAGAGGCCACAGAATTCCATACAAACTGGTTCTAAGCAGAGACATTTCCTATTTTTGAGATGAGTTGATATTGAAACGTTTGTGGAGAGAACAGTGGCCTAAACCACATACTGTGTTTGATTTATATATAGCTTCAAAGGATTGACACCCTTTTGGTTTACTATTCTCCCACTAGAGAAGAAAAAAGCCATTTGAGCATTGTCTCTGCTAGTCAAATAGATCTATTAGTGCAAGAATAGTGTTTCCCATTTATGGCCTCCCCATGCTTAAAGTGCAGTATATTACATGAGATTTCAGCATACCAACATCCTTTATTTGAGTTTCAGAAGGAATGTTCAAGTTAAAAAGTTACCTTTTAGGCTTTAAACAATAAAATCCAAGGCAAAGTACATAAGCTATCTTAAAAATGGATTAAATCCACTCACTTAAGACATTCTTTAAGTCTTATATTCAATATACATATAATACACAAAAAATAACATGTCACTTAACTGTATTGTATCTGTATTTAAAGTGATCCTGTAATAAGTAATTAAAGGCCACTCCACTCAATGCAAATTTTGCTTGAGACAGGACTATGTTATCTGGACTGCGATACATAGTCCAGATATTTCATCATTCCAAGATTCCCACCTGCATAGGCTTATCAATAATGAAACAGCTCTTGGCACCCCACTGTACACACAGTTCAATTCTAATTAACAGGTGGTTTCTCTCATTTTTCCTTTTTTTTTTTTTTTTTTTTTTTTAAATCACCGTTAAGAGTCAGTGTGTTAAAAACTGGACTAGTGATTTTATGCCTTCAGCAACTCCTCTCACCTGGTAACATGTACTTGGTACTACTTACAAGCTTTTCTTTTTATGTACCAATGGTTCCCAAAAGGCGTACAACAGGGAAGAGAATCTTCCAGGCCATACTCTTCATGTGAACAGAGGAGGTTCTAGGCAAATACAAGTACAACCATACCAATAGATTCTCTAAATAAGAAGTTCAAGCAATCAGTTGTGGATTCAGGACTATGTTTGGGTGCAACTTTAAAAACAAAGAAACCTCACCATACCAGAAGATGGTATTTCTTTACCTGCGTAGCTACTTATAGAAATTAAGGATGCAGTTGCACATTTCTTTAAAGCAATCAAACCAGCCTAAACAGGCTTCAGCCCCAACCTCCACTTTCATTTCTGTACCCGCAGCTCTGCCAGCTGTTAAACACAGCAGGGTTAAACTCTATACAGACAACAGTTGACACCATAACTCAGATAAGCCACAGACTTTTGGGGAAATGTCTTTGTTTCTTGTGTTTTGGGGAACCACATAACCTCAGCAATCTTGATCCATAAATGCTTGCATTACTACCACTGCAAGAGTGATAAACAGCAGTAGTGGAGATGGGAGAGAAAAGTATGAACGGCTTGACAAGAAGGAAACTATTACTGTCAAAATAATTACTTCAGATACATAATGCATTATTATTTTGAAGTTCCTGTAGTTTTGTGACTAGACGTCATGTAGTCAAAAGCCTAGAACTTTAACAATTAATAAAAATACACTCCAGGGGAAAAGTTATTTTTTAAATTAAAGCAAATGGCTTTTTACCTCTTCTAACATCCAGAAGAAATAGTCAACCAGTTGGGATAACAAAAACACAACATGCCATCTAACACAAGAAGTAGTGTACCTTACTTTTAGTACTCAAGTAAGGCTTAGAAAAAAATATATCCTCCAATATCTTGCACCATAACACTGCTAACCAACATCTCCTCTTCATAATTACGGACTTCTCTATGCTAGTATACCAACTCCCAAGCAAACATTAGAAACACTACTAGCTTTCCAGGTCAATACAATTCAAACTGCACGCAACATCATCATTTACTCCATTTCCAAAGTGAAGTAAGCTAGATAGTAAAAATGACATGATGTGTCACCCACCAGCACGAGTTTACTCCACATTAAATCCCCACTTTTAGCTCAGACTGAAGAGTTAGCTGAAGACATATCCTAACCCATCACATCAATACCTCCTTCTTTAGGGAAGTCCAAAGACTAAGGCGCACTAAGCCTATCTATACTAAGTCAGTTGTTGAGAATTTTGGACACTAAGTTCAAATTTTGACCTACTGCACAATGAGTTTCTCCATCTACGTGTCCACAGGATCGTATTCCTACAATTTCTTATTCACAAGCAGCTCTATTGATTTCAACATGCTTGCTCCATTGTTTGCCAAACCCTGTTGTCAGAAGTCTGTCCCAAAGCCAAAGTCAACAGGCCTAGAAATGATTATTATGTCTCAGTGATAACAATCACTATTTCAAGGAAAGAAATTGTTCTCTTAAAAAATTATTTATAGTGTGTCTATTGTAGCACAATAAAACTCATGAGATCCTAACTTAAGTTAGAGCAGTATCACCCTTGAAAGGAACACTGCTGAGAATTATGCCATATTGAAGACCACCACCCCAAGAGCTTTCTGATTCAAAGTGTTTTAAGTACTGATACATTAGTTATGGTTGATTTCACACTGGGAATTCAGTTCTACAAGCAGTAGTTTCATTGGAAATGGTTGTAAACAGTAGCCAAAGTAATCAGCAAATACAAATCCTTAAGAAAACAAAAAGGATCTGTGCTAAACAGTCAACTTGAGTTCTAGTCTAGTGTTAACAGGACACCTGCAGAAGTCCCAGAAAGTGTTGAAATTAAGTTTGTTCCAATCAGAGGCAGACATTCCATTCTGTACTAAAAAAAAAAAAAAAAAAAAAAAAAAAGCCTTATTTCAACAGCCTCTTTTACCAGCAACTACACAAGTATAATTTCACTTCAGCTGTCTATCACTAAAACCTGAACTGCAACCTTGTCTCCAATTTAATCAATTCAGTTTCTATTAATGTTAAAAATAGTAACTATTAAAATTTTAGTATGTTTTTACCTTCACTACTGCATACCAGAGACCTGCTAGTGCAAAAGCTAGGACAGATATTACTAGCTGTATGACATGAAAACTGGTAGTCACATATTGTACACTTGAAAGCATTGTCTTATATCCAAGTGGTTGCTCTGAAGTAACAGGGCTTAAGTAACAAAGAAAAATACACAATTTCTGGTTGTTTAAGAGTCCCATAGCATAATCATTCAGTGAGGCAACTGGAACAAAACAGAGATCAATAAGCCCACCAAACTCCGGCTCTTCAAGAAGTGCAAGCTGCAACTCATTCTCTATGCTGCTGCTCACTTCTAATTCCAGAAACTGCAGTTCTTGATTACACTGCAACTTTCCCAGCCATGCATGTACAAAACATACAAAGTTATCTCCTGGGCAGCTTAAGCTAAAGTCTGCAGCAAAACTACGAGCTTTCTCCAGCCAGCCCATTACTGAAATATTAATGCACTGAGAAATCCCATCAAGCCTGGCTTCCCCAGAAGAACAACACAGACAAAATGAATCTTTCCAAGGAACCGCTGGACTTGAGTTTCTCCCTGCTGATTCACTCAAACTCAGAGGCATTTCTTTGCCAACATAAGGCGGAGGTATATTAATAAAGAGAGAACAATTCCTGATGTTAAAATAAAATAATTCTTTTTGTAAACTGCTACTATGATTCTGAGAGTTGTTCAACACGGAATGTACACGTGTCAGGTGAGCTGCAGCCTTGTGATGACCTGGGCCACTGTCACATATTCTTCCTGGGTTTAAATCTTCTTCCTTCATATTCCTATAGAAGACAAACATAGCTTTGCTTTTTCACAGCAGAATGAGCTTGAAGAGGAACGTGACTGACTGTAGTCGCAGCATACAGTGCAAGCAGCGTAACAAGTGACAAGTCAGTGGATCTCAATATGGACCTAGAGAGAAAGGATACAGAATGTTATTACACTAATTTCCTGCCCTGGTATTTTTTTTCCAAGCTCATCCCACAAGAAAAAAAAATATTAAAAAAAAAAACATCTTTTCTCTAGATCTTAGTATATAGAAAAACAAAAATTCTTTAACATAGGGAGGAACCCAAGTGCAGAACTTAAGAGTAGTCCAAACAGACAAGTCACCCTACAGACTGCTTTGAACATATCTAAAGGGGCAGGAGGTGTAGCCAAATATAAACTTTATCCTCTACTTTGAGTTTGATGTTACCAAAAGAGTTTGTACCAAGCATCAATGTGAGTCAGCAAATGAGCAGCTAGAAAGATTGACTGTGTAACAGCATGATTTTCCCTCACCAGTACAAACACAGACTGTAACTGATTAGAGGCTTAATGTTAAAGGCAAATATTAAAGTCATGTTTCTGTAAACAGAAGTACATGCTGCAGTCAGTCAGAGACAACACCGGAAATCAAGAAGGTGGCGTGAACAGCTTCCCGAAGGGAACCGGCCAGACTGGCAGTTAGAGGACACTGCTTATGCTGCAGCCAAATGACAAGCTGATGGTATTACAAGAGAACCATTACGTAGCAGCATAGATAAGAAGCAAAGGCGAGGCATTTTTAGCCACCGAGCTTATTACTATGCCACGTGTGTAATTTTTGGCAGCGTGGCTCAATATCAAGCTTCAGAATTGCAGAACAAATGCGTCCCAAAAATAAAAATATGAGGCACCGCTTTTTGACCTCTTCCCTCTCCAGCGTGCCTTTTACGAGTCGCAGGCTGCAGGCAGCCTTATCTGTTAGCACTCGGCCACCAGCCAGACGTCAAAACTTTGAGCGCTGCTGTGTTTACGAGCAGAGAGAGAGCGCCCAACCTTTGGCTACACCAGATGTCCGTAGCCTGCTTCTGTTGCCAGTTATGTTAAAAGCAAAGCTCTCATTTCAGCACCAAACCAATAAAACTTCCACCCTGTGAGGAATACCAGGAATGCCTTTAGGTCACAGCTTGTTTAGGGAGCCCCCCGTTTTGTAGAAGCCAGGAGAGACGTTAAACGTGACCTGTCATTGTCACGCAGTTACACTGGGAGTTAAAGCTACCCCTGCGTTCTCCCTGCTCAAGCTTGTTCTTGGCTTTAAACACATCGTTTTATTAGGAAATTATTTTATCAGGCACCGAGCACGCGACACCCGAACAGAAGCACTCCCAACCCAAGCTAAGGATGCCCTCAAGCCCAGGATGACTCGGTAACGAGGACAAACGAGAGGGCGGCACAGGGGACACGGGGGCTGAGCAGGGAGCACCCCGGAGGGCAGCCCGGAGCCCGGGGCCGGCCCGGCGCCGCCGCCCACCCACCTGCAGCCGCACGTTGAGCATCATGGAGGCGACGATGTAGAGGTACGGGAAGTTGATGCGGAGCTTCCAGGCCAGGTCGAAGAAGATGAGGAGGGTCCTGGTCAGCCCCTTGCAGAACACGCCGTACGACCTGGCCGCGGCCGACTGGGAGAGCCTGGCAGCCAGGGCGGACAGCGCCGCCGCCATAAACCCGCGGCCCGGCCCCGCCGCCCGGGCCCCGCCGCCGCCGCCGCCGCCACCGGGTGTCAGCAGCGGGGAGCAACCCCCCGCCCAGAGACGTGCGCGCCGCCGCCTGCGTGCCGCTGCGTGCGCGCCGCCGCCGCCGCCTGCTCGGCCGGGGCACGCCTGCCTGAGGGCGGTGCGCGGCCGTTGTGACCGTTGGGGTGGGCGCGGCCGCTCAGCTCGCTCAGCTCCCTCAGCTCCCTCAGCCCGGCCGCCGCCCGCCCTCGGGTGTTGGGGGCCCCCGGAGAGCGGCTGGGACTCCTCACAGCCCCTCCAGGCGCGTGGGCTCTCGCCGCTGGAGAAGAGGAGCCCCAGGGCTTGGCTCGTTGAACCTTCTCAACGCAAATGAGTGGGCTGTCCATGTTGATAATGATTTTTGCATGTTTTGCCCCCCCCCATCCCCCTTTTGTTTTTGTAATTCTGTGCTTTATGCAGTTCGGCGATCGATGCAGAAAACCACCTATTTCCACAAGCAAACGCTTTATGCTTTTCAAGGCAGCACTTCAGTTCTGAATTTAAAAGCAGTGTTCAAGCGTAGGTTACACTTAAGCATTTTTAGTCATATCTAGGAAGATCTTTGAGGTACATTATCATCATGACACTTAACTTTGCCAGTAGGGGAAAACACCCCAGAACAGACAACCCATATCATTTATGAAGATAACGAAACAAGGAAAAAATGCCCTTTTCTACCAGAACTCCTCTATGTAGTTTCATTCAATTAACTTTTAATAACTGTAACGTGAAACAGAAAAATCAATCTATCGATCTAAACTCTTCGTGAAATATTATTGTATTGCCACTGAATCACTCTGGTGCACAGGGAGAAATTCCGGTACAAAATTGGACACGCTCCCAGGTTTATCTGCAGTCCCTTTGTCTGAAATGCTGTTTTGTTCGTTAGCTACATAATAGAGCGGAAAACCCCTGGAAAACTCACTCTGTGTCTGGAAACTGTAAACAGTCCAATTAAGGAAAATACAGGCACTGGCTTGTGCTCTCAGGAACTGGAGTATTTTAAGGATGCGGCGTGTTTTGAGGGCTTGTCTGTCCTGCAGGTGAGGAGGTACCGCAATACCTTCCTGCTGCCTGAGGTACCAGGCAGCCCCTCCAGCCTGATCGGGACTAGAACGTGGTTGTCAAGGGCAGAACCAGTCACTGGAGCTGTCCTTAACCAGTTCTTTCATCTTATCCAGCTTCTGAACAGATCCGAAGAAACCCGCTTGGATCTCAGGCCTTCAGATAAGCCCTCTTATGAGTGTGGAAGTCCAGGACCCCCTTCCTTCACTCCCTGCTTTTTGATTCTGGACAGCTGTAGCTCATTGCAGTCATCTAAGCAGATCTGACTGAATGTCAGACTGCGGAGTTAAATGCTCTCTCAGAGCTCTCTCAGACTATCCTACTGATTCTTAAAAGCAAAACACTGCTTATTCAGATCAAAAAAAAGTATCAAAGAAAATGCATCTTTTAGAACACACCTTATCAGAAACCTATCCATCTTCCCCAGGGTTTCCAAGCAGATTCAAAGCTCTTTGGGTCCCTCTTCAGTCACAGAAGAAGGACTGTTTGTCAGTCCTTTAATCAATGCTGAAGAATCCCCTTTGAGGCCAGGATTGATCTGTCTATGATCTGTGATGTCTATGGTTTGACGTCTCTGTGCCTAGGTCTCTTGAGCCTACCTGCACTATTAAAAGGAGGAGACAGGACTTACCTGCACCATCTTCATTTTGGAGAACATGAAATAATAGCCTCCACTCTCCTCACAACTTCATTCATAAAGTATCCTTTGGATTATTTCAGCACATCATTCAAAAAAAGGAAAGAGACTGAAGTTTTGTATATTATTCATAAAGTGAATGCAATAGCTTGCAATTCAAAAAGGTTTCCAAAGATGGGCATATGCTTCTTTCTGCAAGCAGTAGTATTATTGCTGTGTAGTGTGTCTATGTCAGTTCAGCTTGGCTGTTTTGTGAAGACAGTGGTGCTGTATCTTTTTTTCCTCCACATCTGAAGTTTTTAATAACCCTGTTAGTACTGAAGACACTGAGGACACAGGAACAAAGATGTGTCCAGGTGCTACAACTGAAATTCCAAGTTAACTCAAATTCTTCAATGTCTCCATTCCTTTCTCTGTTATATGTACTGCAGCCATCTACTCTAGCAGATGAGCACAAAGTAATTTAGCTGCTCTAAGACATTTAGCAGCTTTTTGAGATTATATTGAATGCAATGTGATATATAAAGACTAAATCAGGAAGCTGATTAGCTTGTATTTATCAGTCGGTATCTGTCAGATTCTCATTAGTTTGGGCTCATGTTGTTAATTGACAGAATTGTGACACTATCAATTTCAAAATCTTGATTAAGAATTCGACACACAAGAGAAAATACTGACACTAAATTACTTTTTACACTAAAATAAGCAATATCATGAATAAATTAGGTCATAACAACAAGTTAGCGTTGGTATTGATTTGGATCTAATTATTTAATTAAATATTGTGTTTGATAAAATAATCTTTAGTTTTCCAACAAAGAAATGCAAATTGAAAAGATAATTCAATTGAATACCAATTGAAGAGCTTCATCAGATTTTGTCACATCAGGATTTGGAAATTAGCTACTTATTAGACAGTAAAACTAAACCCCAAAGCTACCCCCCACTTCCTCCTTTGATTTCAGCTCTGTCATGGTGGTAAAATCCTTCCTTTTCAATTTAGATAAAACACAGATTACTTTAATATGCAGAAGTTCAAAACTATTGACGTGCAATTTGTGGCTGAGAGCTGCAGAAATCCTTTTCCATCAATTTAGTGCCATCATTCCATTTTGCTTCCTAACCCTGACTCGCCTTTCTCTGTTGCATCAGACAAGCACACCCTTATCTTTGAAGTCCTTTCATGTTTTATTTCATTCTGCTTAAAATTTCTCCTCAGGAATTCAAACATTTATTCTTCTATTCAAAGAAAAAATGTTGTTAGTCAACATTACTCTTGTTACATTTTCAAAATGTATTCTGAAGCTTTCTCAACTTCTATCTGTTATGTTTAGGAGTTCCTCATATACTCATACAAAGATTTCTCTGTTTTCCTTCAGCGCTTATAAGATACCTTACTTGCAAAAGAAATAAAAATTAGGCCCTGGATGTGCCTGCCACATAGACCAATGTTACCTAACAGCATCCCTGTATTTAACTATATCTGTCTTTCCTCTGCTTTTGGATAGGCCTGTTTTGGGAAGGGACCTCTCTGCGCTCTGGTGTGTAACACAACAGTCCTTGTGCATGTGATTGGGTCTCCAAGGTTCTCTGTAAGAGCTATAAAAGCAGAGATACACTATGAGCACTTTGTGTTTCAATGAGAGAGAATTTAGGGTTATTTATACTTAGTTTCTTTCTGGTATCTTTATATATCCATTGCTATGTATATAAAAAAAAAAAAAAAGACAATTGACAACAAAATGATTTCAAAAGACCGAGATCATAACAAAAACTTGAAAAATATAAAAGTCAGATTTTTTAAACATTAAAACATTTTGTTCTCTTCAGTTCCTGTAATCTTCTGTGTTCTTTTGGACTGAAAGTTCACTTAAAAATAAATAAAGAAAATTAAAGAAAAAAGAGAGAAAAGGAAAAAAGAGCCAGATGGTTCCTAACAAACCTCTTCTTGTGAGTGGGTTTTTAGGGCTGCAAGGAAACTTGTCAACAGCTCTGGTAGCCCGTCTGCTGATGCCATGCTTTCCTTCCCCAGCAGCAACCAGCCTTGGCACTCTGCAATCCCAGGCGGCCCTCAGAGGGTTTATTGTCCCTGCTGACAAAAGCGTTCAGTTTACTCTTTTGGTTTGTGATGTTGTCTAATTTTGAGCCCCCTCTCTACAAAATCTTTCAGAAAATTAGATGTACAACATGCTGCGGATTCTAACAGCACATTGTTGTTGAGTCATAGTTAGATGCAATTGAAGCTCCTGACAATATGAATAATATGAATAACTCTTGCAGAAGCTATTGTGTTACCATACAGTGCTGCAGTGAGCTTGTACTGAGAAGCATTGGTCCTCTAACATACACAATACTAAAAAGACACAAGACTACATTTGAACAGGCGTTTTTTGTCAGTTTAAAAAATGCAAAATCTAACATGATATCAAATTAGCTAGCTGCCAGAAGTACGCAGAAACACCAGGCACCCAATTGCATCTCTTGCTATTGGGTGAAAACAGAGGGAAGGTGATTAACCTATGCCACCATTCACATAGATTGTTCTGCAAACAGGACAATTTTGTAATTGTTATATTTAGGAACTGCGGAATAAATCAACTTATTTGGGGAAGTCTTCCTCTTCACAGGAAGAAGCAGTTTAGCAGCTTTTAAGTGTACATGAATTGGGGAAAAACAAAAAAAAAAAAAAAAAAAAAAAAAAGTTTTCCAGAAAAGTTTTTAATTCAACTTAGAAGTAGGCTTCTTACCTTTTGCCTGTTCTCGGGCAATTTGACCACAGAAGACTTGTCCTTTTAGGTCCTAGCTTTACTGAACCTCATAAGCACGCCTGCAAGCCTGGAGCAAAAGTAACTCTTGATCTTTCAAAGGAGTTCAGGTAGCCAAGTCAAAGCTCGTAGCCTTCAGTCTTTATTCATGTGAAGAATAATTGGCAGGTGGAAGGCAATATAACTAGTGGGGCTGAATGGACTTCTGTCATGGTTAAACCATTACCCATTTCCTCAATATCTGAAAGCTCATTTCTGTGAAATGCTTGATATCAACATAGGTAGAAGATGAGGGGAATCTCTAGTTCACACATCTGTGTACTTCAGCAATGTCTCACCTAATGGCATAATTTGATGCCTTCAGTTGGCAAAAAGACTTATTCCCTTATTTCTGCTGAGGTATTTACAGTGATAAATAAATAAATAACAGAGAGTTCCAATGTCTTGTTAATAAATATATAATAATGTCTCTATTCCAGAAAGCTTACAGCCATATACAGGGATTACTGTGTAGTCCCGCTGTCTTCAGCAGCCCTTGCTGTAGTAAGCGCTGTCTGTTACTGCTTGCTAAACCTGAGGGGAGGCAGAAGTGAATGAAAAGCCTTATGTGGTTTTATAACTGAAATTCTGCACAGAAGAGGTATTTGTCAGAAGCTATCTAAAGAAAATACAGGACTTGTTTGTGTTGTATATGTATACCAGCTAAATCATCTATGCTAATATCACACAAATATGATGCATTTATTTTACAACGTTTCCTTATTAATTTAGAGATTTATATATGAACATTTTATTTGCATACTCCTTTAATCTCTTCTCTCTGATGCAGCAAATGCTGACATTTAAAAGCTGTGGTTCCTTTTTTATTGCTGGCTTTGGTTCCTC